TGCACGAACAATGAATCATGGAACACTTCATCTAGAACTAATGATGTAATGTATGAGGATTAACAAAAAAAAAAAAAAAAAAAAAAAAAGTGAAAAGCAGGAACGACCACTCCCACGCTCCCGGAAGAGAACACGGGGCAAACCGAGGCCTTGGGCTCACCGGCTGGGCCACCCAGCGGATGGGAGTGACGCGCACACAGGCCCGGGCCGGGGACTCCCGAGTGGAACGGGTCAGGCCCACGCCAGCCTCGGGGGCACAGCGGCCAGGTGGGGATGGAGGATGCGGGCACCTGCCTGTGTCCGGGGGCGCAGAGGCCCTGACCACTGAGTGGCGGCCGTGGGGCCAGCTCACCCACACTCAGCCCGGCTCCCGTTACTGGCACGAAGGCACAGAGAGCGGCGGGAAGGCCTGAGTGCGAGCTGACTGGGGAGAGCAGAGGGGAGGGACGGAGGGACGCACACCTGGGCCGGCCGGGCTCCGCCCCTTGCAGCCGAACTCACCGGAGTGACACACACACTCCCTCACTCTCCTCCTCCACCCGGGCTGCCGACCACCAGGGCTCAGGGACTCACCGCACGGCTGGGGGCTGGCCCCGGCGCGCTCCCGGGGCCAGCTGGCTGCCCTGCCAGGCGCCGTCCTCCTCGTCGGACTCCCCGGAGCCCTGGCCCTCCTCCTCGTCCTCGTCCTCGTCCTCCTCGTCGTCGAACTGCTGGATGCGGTCCTTGTAGCAGATCTCCAGCAGGTTGGCGTTGGGCTGTGGGGTGCAGGGGTGGGTGGGGTGGGCAGCACGGTCCACAGCGCCCCCCGCCCCTGCCCCGCACCACCAGGGATGGGCAGCACTCACGTTCTCGTCGTCGGCGTGGAGGGAGAAGGTGATGTTGGCTGTCTTGTCGAAAGGCGCGCTAGGAGAGAGGCGCAGGGCGGTGAGGCGGCCGCTGTGGCAAGCTTCTCCCGCATCCGCTCAACGCACCCTCGCCGCTCGCCCTCCTGCATCTGCAAGTCCGCCTACTGGCTACAGTTCATCTGTGGCCTCACGTCAGCGCCGTGACCCCCTCCGGCCACCTGTGGAGCTGCTGACTGGCAGCGGGCAGCTGAGAGCACCCGCCTGCCCCAGCCCTCGCACGGATGCCCCGAGGGGACGGGAGCCTCGGCCCGGGCCACGGAGCACGTCACGTCTCAACCTGGTTCTCTCCATGCTAAGACACAGACAGCATCTACCTGGACAAGCACCGTTGGGACTTAAGGCCACCATCCAGGTGCCCACCTCCCCCAGGAGCGAGGGTTCAGGGCTCACGGGGCCTTCACCCACCGGGGCGGCAGCCGGGAATCGAGCCAGAGGCGTGTGCGGCCCAGCCGTCTATCCCTGCCTCTGTTCTGTGCTGCCCTAGGCCCCCGGGCCTTCAAGTCCAAGAAACAACACCGAAGGAGAGACTGGCCACGGCCGGGGCGTAACCGTCATCCTGCCCATCTCCAGCGGGGCCTGCAGCGCCGCATGCCCGGACGCTGTCGCTGGTCCGCGAAAACCCCTCCACCGAGCACGGGGCCGCACAGCCCGCCCCAGCCCAGATGCCCGGTCTGCAGCTGGGATCCTGGCCTCGAGGCCCCAAGGGTAGGGGCGGCCCCCAGCCTTCCGCTGAGGCCGACAACACCCGGTCCCCCGGCGCCGCTCTCTTTCGGAAAGCCTCGCAGAAACACGATTCCTGTGCTAAGTACGGCCAGGAACCACTGACGAGAGCCTTCCTCATACTCCCTCAAGGCCCAGGACCCTTGTGCTTTGCCCCCTTTTCCTCCGGGGCCGTCGGTTGGTCTGTCTGTATGGGGTCCGCACTCTGTCCCCGTGTTCTATCGTCTGTCTACTTCGGGAAACGCTGGGCCACAAAGCGGGGTGAAGAAGCTGAGTGCCGCCTCGGCGTCCGCACCGCGTCCCCTCGACCTCTGCCGCCGAAGCGCGCAGCGCCGGGCAGAGCGGGGCCCCGGGCACGGCAGCCGACCCGGGCCACCCGAGTCCTGCGGGCCGGTATCTTCAGCCCCAGAGCTGTAAAAACACTCATCTGCTCTCCGTCCTAGAACGCTTCACGGCTTTCACGGTTTTTATGAAGTTCCCAACCCCACTGGGAATTACGTGATAGACAAGACAACCCAGTCTCGTCCACAAGGACAGTCGGCTGTGCCGACGCCACCCCCCGAGCGGTCGGTCTGTCCTCCCTCGGGCGGCGTCTGCTCTGGGGCCCCCGCCTTCCAGGCACCGGGCCCGGGGCTGGGCAGGGCAGCAGACACAGAGCTCACGTCTGCCCCCGAGGGGACCTCTGTCCGGCAGGGCAGGCCAGCAGCTGACCACAGCCCGTCACGGAGCTGCACAGGGGCGATCCTGCTCCCACACCGAGCAGCACGTGCCTCAGTCTCCCCAGCTGTAAAGAGGCTCCTCAGCCCTGAGCACAGGGTGATGGTGGGCACACAGTGCACAAGTACCGTGATGAAGCAGATGGGGACCCCAGGGGCAGCTGAGGCCCCTCTTGCCTGTCCCCGGACCCCACCCCCGGCCGTCCCCAGCCCGCCCCTAAGGGGCCAGCTGGACCCCTCTCCACCGGATTCCTGCACCATCAGACTCAGATCGCTCCTGTCCTGCCCTCCGGCGGTCCTTCCGCTTTCCCTCGGACCGTCCCAGACTCCTTCAGAGCAACGTCTTCTGCTCTGATGGCTCTCCCCTCAGGGGCCTCGCGGGCTGAGCTCCCTCCCAGACCACGGCCTGCCCACCTCGCTCTCACTCCAGACCCTCAGCCACTGCCCCGCAAGGAGGGGACAGAGGAGCCGGGAGCCGGGACTGGCCCCTGTCAGGCTGAGCGCAGACGCTAGGACCGGCAGGCACGCCATGGGTGGGAGCAGGGAGGACACGGCAAGGCGGGCAGGAGAAGCCACGGGGCCGGCAAGGGCGGTGCGCCGACCTGCTGTCTCCTGAGCCCCCGCCCTCCCACAGAAGGCCACACTCACTTCACACTCTCCTCCTGCTCCCCAAACTCCTCATCATTGAAGCCAAAGTGGTCGATGAAGGCCGAGGTCATGCGCTGCATCTGGAAGTCCATGAAGGCCTGCGGGGGGGCGCGGTCAAGGGTGGGTGGGGCCGGGCAGCCCGGGCAGGGCAGCCCCCCGCGCCCGCTGGGCCGCCCACCCACCTGCTGCAGCACTGCCTCCTCAGGGAAATTGAACTCCTTGAGCCGGTCGTCCTCGTCGTCGCTGGAGGAGTGCAGGTGGTGGGTGCTCACCTGGGCAGGGGGCGGGCGGGGTGAGGGCCGGGACGGGCAGGGTGCGGCTGCAGGGGGTACGGGCGGAGGACAGACCCGCGACACAGGGCAGAGCCGCCTCACCAGGTCCACGGCGTTCCTCTTGTTGGTCTCTGCCAGGGCTCCAGACACGAAGGCCTCCCACCGCTCCTGCTGCTCTCTGGGCAGCTCTGCTCAGCGGGGAGGAGACGGGGCGTGAGGCCCCCGGCCTGCACCCCTGCCCACGCCCCCGCCGGCAGCCCTGGCCCTCACCCTTCAGCAGCCAGCCCAGCTGCTCGGCGTTGGGCCCCTTCTCTGTGTTCTGCACCAGAGCATTGGCCAGTCTCGTCAGGTGGCCCATGTAGCCTTTGCGGGGGCCCCCGGCAGACCTGGGCGACATCAGAGGCCACAGCTGGACCGGCCCGTGTGCCCCGGGCCGCCCCCGTCCCCCGCCCACGCAGGCGGTCCCCGGTGCTCACTGCACGAGGTCGTTCTCCTCCCAGGAGGTCAGGATGCGCTCCACCAGGCGGCACTGCTGCAGCAGCTGAGGGAAGGGGGGCCGTGGGGGCGGGCCGGGGCCGGGGCACGCCCCTCCAGGACCGCCTGCGCCCCCCGCACCCCTGGACACGTCCCCCGGCCCCTCGGTCTGTCCGGCTCCCGCTCTACCTCCACCCTCCACGTACACAGCAAACCTGGAGTCGTCCCGCCGCCGCCCACCAGTGACGGCCACGATGCCCAAGTGGCCGTGCTGCTCAACAGCTCCTCCCCGAGGCCCTGGGCTCCGTGCCGGGAGGCACCCCCCCTGGCCTGGCGGCCGTTACCCCAGAGGACACCCGCTGCCTCCCGAGGGCACCCCTACCTGCACCTACCTGCTCGGCACCCTCCGTCTTGCCCCGACGGACCTAAGGACAAGGCCGAGCGAGCCCCCAGCCCCCCACCCGTGAAGCTGCCTAGTGAGCACCAGCAGGGGGACCCGGGGACAGAGAGGGGGGCCCGGGAGCCCCAGCTCACGTGTTTCAGGACGGGGCTCGGGGCAGCTATCTCGAGGCCACTGTCGGAGGGAGGTGCAGTGCTCAGCAGGGCACTCACACACAACTCCACTTGGGCATGCAGGAAGTTGTTGAACATATAGTGGAAGAAGAGGTCCTGGGTGGGGGCACCGCAGGCTGGCACCGAAAGGCCCCTCCACCCACCCCACCCTCTGCACCCCGCCCAGGGGCCGTCCCGTGCCCCCGCTGCTCCCCACCCCCACTCTCCCCACCCAGGGCCCCCTGCACCCCCCGTCCCTCCGCACCAGCATGGTGTTGGGCACGTCCAGCGCCAGGAGCTCCTGGGTCAGGGCCGCATCGTTGGCGCTCAGAGCGCTGGCCAGCAGCTTGACCACATGCAGCCGGGTGTTGCCCAGCGGCGGGGCCAGGCTGCCCCACGTAGTTCGCAGCGGCTCCAGCTACGGGCACAGGGGCGGCTCAGCACTGCCCAGAACCATGGGCCGCCCTCCCTGCCACCCTGCCTCCTTGGCCTCCCGGCCCACCTCGGGGGGCTCAAGCAGGAGCTGGTGGAAATGGCCGAGCCGTGGGCGCAGGGCGTGCAGGACGCCCACGCTGGACGTGGTGCTGTCCAGGGTCGCCTGGGCCAGGAGCTCCAGCTGTCCGTCCATGCTGCTGAAGAAGTTGTTCACGGTCACAGACTCGGACCTGCAGGAGGGGACAGGAGGCAGGCCTGTGTGTGTGATACGCACTCGTGCAGCACATCAGGAAGGGACACGCTGCTCCCCGGCGAAGTGCAGCGCGAGGCCCCATTGTTTCGGGCAACGCCCGCCAGCTCAAAGCTACAGACGGTATACGCAGCCTCAGACGGGAGCGGAGGACTCCTCTCCCAGGACCAAGTGACCACCGAGACGGGAGACCACTTGCAGAGACCGTGTCCCCATGACCTTCACCTCTGTATGGAAGGGCAGGGCTCCGAGGGATTGCACGGCCACCGGGGAGGCTGGCCCCCCTCACCTTGGCCTTCTGGGCTCCAGCAGGGTCAGCAGCACCTGGATCCCACTCACGATGACAGACTGGCTCTGCTCCCCCTCCAGCATGTTGCTCAGGAGCTGCTCGATCGTCTCCTGCCTGGGACAGGGGTCAGGACAAGGGATAAGGGTAGGGTCGGCATGGGGGCCACGCGGAAGGGCCCTGGACAGCTTCCCGCCCTGGGTCTCGGAACCACAAACCCACTTCTCCAGGGTGGCCAACAGCTGGTCGGGCTCCGGGCTGTCCTGGACCTGGATCATCTGCTCCCGGCTCAGGCGGATGATGTCGCACAGGGACTGGGATGCGTTGGAATGTTGCTGCGGAGGCAAAGAGAGAGCTGAGGACACCAGCCTGGCTGCCAGGCCCTCCGTGTCCTGCTTTCAGGACTCCTCGGGAGCTGACACCTGGCCCTCAGGACCGAGAGAAGGGTCACAGAGACAGGGACGCAGGTGCCCAGGGTACGGACACAAGGTACCAAACACTGGAAGAGGACATGGCGAGGAACTGAGAGTCCCCGGAAAACTTTCTGCAGAAGGGGACATCCCACACCCCACACCATCTGCTGCAGCCGGGGCGGGGGCGACCCCAACGTCCACCGACTGGTGAGCAGACAAGCTCCTGTGAACACCCCTCAGCCTCAGGACGGGATGAAGCACACGGATGAACAGGGACACCTGGTGCTGAGGCAGAGACCAGACACGCAGACCAAGTACGGTGTGACCGCGTTTACGCAACAAGTCCAGCAGATGCAAGCCCAGAGACAGAACGCTGCCTGGGGTGACAGGGGGACCACAAGCGCAACAGTGTACAGCTAAAGGACACGGGCTTTCCTTTTTGGAGTAACAAAAAATACTCCCAAACCCACGTGGTAATAACGGGACAATTTTGTGATTACGCCAAAAGCCGCTGTGCGCTATACTTTAAACAACTGACCCGTGTGGTACGTAATCTCTATCTGGATAAAGCTGTTCCAGGAAAAACCCAGAAAGAAACTCGAGCGGGACTCCGAGTCTAACCCAACAGGGAGCTACCAGCACCCACCTGCGCAGACCCCAGACCCGTCCAGGCCATGGGCCGCACTTCAGAGCCCATCACGGACGCCCCCCGCCCCTGGGCCTGAGTGGTCCTCACCCTGCTGGCCGCATGCCTGGGGTACCTACCCGCACCTGTGGAGCTCTGCTCTGTAAGCCAGCAGCCCCGGAAGACAAGGCGAGACCCCCCCCCCCGGCTGCAGTGAGAATGTGGGGCCTCTGCATGGATTTGCTGAAGAACAAGCAGGGTGTACCCAAGGACAAGAGACTCGAGAAGCTGACAGGCCCCACTCAGCAGAGGAGTGGGGAGCGGGGAAGGGGCCCCTGGAAGGCTGGCATGGAGGGGGCCAGGCTGGAGCCCTGCGCAGACCCCTGACCCATCAGGAGACGCTGGGCCAAGCTCCTGGCTCATGAGATGCGCTCCCCGTGGGCGGCAAGAGCCCTGTCAGTGACAGACTGGAAGGACGAGCACACACAGCACCAATCGCGTCCTTCCTCAACAGTTCACCTTCCAGGGAGGGAGGGGGGCGAGAGGCCGGGCCACAGCTGGGCGGGCAGGCTAGGAGAGAACACTCACACTGTCATCCTTTGACGGGTGGATCTGTTCTATAAGCCGCTGCACAATCTTCTCCTCGTTGAGCCACTGGGGGTGAGAAGGAAGGTGGGCGGCCGCTCACGGCCCGCCCTCCCCGGTGCCCCCCCAGCCCAGTGCCCTCCTCCGGCCCTCCCCGGGCCCCCCCACAGCCCCACGCTCACGTTGACCACGTCCTGCCTCAGCTGTGGACGCTCCACGCAGGTGAGGAGACGCAGCAGGAGGTCCATGATGGCCGAGGTGCCGATATGCTGCAGCAGCAGGTCCACGAAGTCGTCCTTCTTCCGCAGGAAGGACACGAGCTGGGGACAGGAGGGACAGCACGCGTCACACGGCAGGGCCCGGGGCCTGTGCCCGCCTGCTCACCTGCCTGCACACCGGCCGGGGCTTCGGGTTGGCGGTACCTGGTCCGTCTTGCGGTTGATAAGGACGCCCATGACCTTGCTGAAGAAGCTGGCCAGCAGGGGGTTGAGGCTGCTTCTGCTCTGCAGGAAGCCGTAGAGCCGGTTCAGGAGGGCCTCGTCGGCGCCCAGCGCGTCGTTGATCTGGGGCACGTCTGAGGTCAGGATCTCACAGGCCACGCTGGGGTACCTGGGGGGGGGGCGGTTCACATCCAGAAAGGGTGGCCGATGCCAGGGAAGCTGGCTGCCCATCCCCGCCGCCCCCCACGCCCTCCCGTCGGAACCCACACGTGGCTCCCACGGCCCCCAGGGCTCCAGCCGACCTTCCCTGAGACCCCACTTCATCCCTCGCCACCCCTCCCGCACCCGCACAGGCCCAGCAGCCCACCCGGGAGGCGCCAGGAGCAGCAGGCCAGGGCAGCCCCGGGGGCCGAACGGGCAGGGGCTCACTTGTAGCGCAGCCGCTCCTCGCCACTGGCCGGCGGCTCCTGGGTGACCCAGGCCACCATGGCCTGCAGGTGCGGCGGCTGCAGCAGGAAGTCCAGTAGCTTGCGGTTGACGACCTTGCACTCCTGCAGCACGTCCTCCTCATCCAGGAGCTCGGGCAGACTCAGGTCCTCCCGCTCCAGAAGCGTGTCCAGGTGTGAGCTCGTGTGCAGGTCAAACTTCCAAAACATGGCGCCCTGAGGGCAGGGCTGCGGGTCACACGCCGGGCCCTGCCTGCCCCACACCTTCCACCTCAGCCACCGATCACCCGGACGACCGTGACAGCCTGCCAGGCCACCCTGGAGTCCAGGGGTCACTTCACGGCGCAGGCCAGTTGCCCATCCTGACCGCCCCTCGGCCCCCAGGCCCCACAAAGGAGAGCCCTGCGCAGAGCCATCGCGATCCTGTCGTCCTCCGTCCCCGTCTGGGCAGGGACCCCCCAGGGGCGGGGCTGGAACCATGCTCTCCTGAAGCCTCGGGCATCGGACTCACTGAACAAATTCAAATGCCCCATGGCCGCCAGCCCGCGGCTGCCTCCCAACATGGCAACTCACCACATGCGGGGCGTGGGGCGGTGGCAGGGGGAAGTCTAAGATGTCCCCAGGCTGTGGCTGTTGCCTGGATGCTGCACACACACAAACACACCCAACCCCCCACCCAGTGGCTGGACAAGGAAGAGGACAAGTGGGGGAGGAGGGCCTTTCAGAAGAGCCCCTGACGGGGCCCAAAGGAGCCAGGACGGTCAGTGACTCGGTGGGGAGGAGGACAAGGCTGTCTCGCAGCCCCTGCAGAACGGCGCCCTGGTCCCCAGCCAGCACCGGGACCCTGCGTGCCCCGACCCACCCCAGCACAGGTGGCTAGCTGCTGTCGGGAGCACCATACCGGGAGCTCCCACTAGGTGCTCCCTGTGCACACGCACCCAGACGCTCCTCTGAGGGGCCTACGGGCTCCCCGTCCAGACCAGCGCGAGGCCCGCCCTGCACGTGCCACCAAGCTCCCCGCCCACGCGTTCCCACTCTCTCTGTCCCCACCGCAGAGCACCCACATGCCCCTCGGAGGGGCTGTTGCCGCCCCACTGCCAGGAAGTCGGGGGCTCCCAGCACCACACAGGCGGGGGGCCAGAGCTGACACGCGTCACCTGCCTCGCGGAGACCACTGGAGGCAGAGGCCACGGAGGACAGACCGAGAGGCCCCGGGCACCTCCCGGACCCACAGATGGCAGTCCTTCTCCTACGTGCCCTCCCTCGCCCTGTCTGCCCACAGCCCCCGACCACAGAAAACTCGCCAGCCACAGAAGGAGCCCCAGCCCAGAGCAGAGCACAGCTCTGACCTGACTCAGGAAGCAGCCGGGACTTAAGGCCAGGGCAGAGCAGGGCACGTGTGGCCTCGGGCAGGACTGGCCTTCTGAGCCTCGGTCCCTTCAAGACACCGCCTCCAGCACCAGCCCTCCCTTCCGGCCTCCGCAGGAGACACTCACCTCCCAGCGTCCTCCCCACCCTCCGTGACCGGGAGCAAGTGGCTCTAAATCCGCAGTGACCCCAGACCCGGGACGGCTGCAGGTGGAGGACTCATGGTCGGGGAAGACAGCAGCAAGCGCCAGGCACCAGTGGGGGCAGCGGGGACATCCACGAGGCTCCCACGCCCCGTCCCCCAGGGACTCGCGCCTTAGCCCTACGCCCTTCACCCCACGTTGGCCACTCTCCTGAAACACAAACTGGAGTGTCTGATGTTCAGTCCTGGCCAAATGCCCAAAAAGGCTCCTTAGGTCTCCACACTCGGGACCCCAGGGCCCGGCCAGCCTTCCAGCCCCGCTCGGGCCAAGCCCAGCGTCCACTTGGACCTCCAGCTCCCGCGGCGTCCACTGTCACACGCCCGCCGGCCACGTTGGCCGAGGGTGCACACCTGCCGGGCCCCTGGGCAGGCCTGCCTCCCCTGGGACCTCCCCCTCCCCGAGCAAGCGGCAGCCCAGCTCCTCCCACGTCGTCCTGCGGTGCCATCTTGGGGTGTGCCGCCCCAGCCTGGGGCTCTCCTGCGAGGTCCCTGCGAGCGCCACGCTGGGCACCTAGGCCTCCCGGCATCACTCGACTGTGACCCAGACGGGACGGCCACACGCCGCGCTGGCCGCGGTGCTGATGGCGCTCTCCGGCTCGGCTCAGCTCGTTCACCCCTGAGGAAGGCACGACGGCCCCATCTGATAGGCGAGGGAGCTGAGGCGCACCAAGGCAGCTGCCCGCCCAGGCCCAGGTTTGCGCAGGCTTCTGGGCCCGGGCCCCCGCAGCCCTGCTGTGCCAGCGCCCCCGCCCATCCCCGGCCACCGGAAACCTTGGGGCTTCTGTCCACCTGCTCGGCCCCCCCCCCGACCAGGCCCCGTCGCCTCTCCGGCCTGCCCTGTGCTCTCCGCATTCCACTGCACAGGCTTCCAGGCAGAGCTGGCTTCGAGGACCTGCCCACGTCTGGTCTGTGCTCAGGCGCCCAGGGGCTTCCCTCCACGTCAAATGCCTCCAAATCCTGCCCTGGCTGTCCTCACCCGCACCCACAAACTGGCCTTTCTGGATGCAGAGTACACCACACCTGGGGTCTGCTCAGCAACTGTGTTCTTGCGCCTCGCCTGCCTGGGACGCCCCAGTATCGGGCTGCTCCTCCTCCTCCTCCTCGGGGTCTCCTGCCGGGCAGTCCTGCGGCCCCACCTCCATCCACCACCCACATCCATAAACCTACACGACGGGTTCGCCGTCACACAGCGCACGTGCCCTGACCGGACAACGGTCCACACAGGCACCACCATCCTCGCTGGGCCGACAACCTCAGAAACACCAGCAGAAAGGCACCCCCTCTGTACCCCCACCTGTTATCAGGCCCCTGCCCCTCTGAGGCAGCAGGCGACATCCCTGCCAGGACATCACTCCCACCCAGTCACCCCCCAGCCATCTTTAAGCCACCGTCACGCGGGCGGGGGGGGCAGGGAGCACTGGGAGCAAACATCATCCCAACCCTGAGGTGCTCAGCGACCTTCCTTTGCAAGCCAGCAACTCCCTCCTTTTGCCCGGCTCCCAGACCTTCTCCGGGAACCCTTCCACAGCTAATGGACGTCCTCCCTCACTTGATGACAAGGCCGTGACAGGGCTCATGCCACAGGTGAGAAAACGAAGGCCCAGCCCCACAGCACTGGTGGCCCGCGCGGGCACATGTCCTGAGCTGGAGGAAGCCGGGACCAGAACCGCCTCAAGGGGCAGCCACCACCCAGGGCCGCAAGGAGCTCTGTGGGGTGAGCACTCCATCTCCTCCCACATCGGACCCGACGAGGAGACCAGAGGGTTCAAAAGGCCACCTGCGCAGAGTGAACGAAGCCAGTCACCAAGGACCACGTGTTGCAGGACTCCGTTTACGAGAAATGTCCGGAAGACACAAATCCGGGGACAGAAGCAGGAGCTGGGGAAGCCGGTGCAGGGGGGTGGGGGGTGGGGATGAGGAATACCTGCTAACAGGTAAGCGACTTTCTTCTGGGAAAAGCATGTTTAAAATAAAAACAACCAGGGCACGTGGGTGGCTCAGTCGTTAAGCATCTGCCTTCGGCTCAGGTCACGATCCCGGGGTCCTGGGATCGAGTCCCGCATCGGGCTCCCTGCTGAGCGGGGAGCCTGCTTCGCCCTCTCCCGCTCCCCCTGCTTGTGTTCCCTCTCTCGCTGTGTCTCTCTCTGTCAAATAAATCAATAAAATCTTTTAAAAAATAAAATAAAAACAACCAAGAGTTCTGAAATTGTCCACATTTTTCTGAATTATACCTCAGTAAAAAAACCCCACTACGGTGACGGCTGCACGGTTCTGAATACACCAGAAACCATTGACTTGTGCACTTTAAATAGATGAACCACACGACATACGAATTACATCTCAACAAAAACCATGACCAAAAACAAAACCACAGTTGCCCAAGGCTGCGGTGACAGGGCCGGGCCCAGGCCTTGTTGTGTGTCCAAGTCACCGGGAGCTCCTACAAGACAGCAGCCTCCATCCAGAAGAGCGGAGGCACAGAAAGCGTGCCTAGGTTCCCCTCCCCCACCATCCCTGTCAGTGTCCCTGAGCTAAGTGGGGGAGGGAGGCACCACAGCTGAGGGACAGGGTGGGGACAGGGCCCAGCCCATGTCTCCTGAAACCCTGTGCACCCACAAGGGTACCCTGTCTCCATGCCGAGACGAGGAGGTGAAGCATGATCATGATTCCCACTCGACAGCCGTGGAGACAGGGGCCCCCAGGGACAGAGCCAAGGCCACCGAGAAGCAGAAGCAGGACTCGCCTGCCCTGCTCTCCTGACTACAGGTGGAACTTCTTGACCCACCCGCTTCCAAAGCACCTAGTTAGAGGGCCGGGCTCCAGGCACCACCCCCAAACCTCCACAGCAGGTCCGCTTGGTACGGCAGGTAGGGCTTCCTTCCCCAAGCGGGCTTTCCAGAGAACTGGTGTGGGGGGGTGATGGGTGGGGCCGCCCACAGTAAGACAGGAGGTGCTGGGTGGTGCGGGGTACTCAGACCCAGGCAGCCCCTTAAACTCTCCCTCAGGTGGCTCCTCCAAAAATCAGAGGAGCCTGCAAGGACCAGATGCAAGCAGGTGGTGGTGGGCACCCTACAAACATCACTTCGCAAGCTCTGCACAGAACAGAGATGCAGATACGCAAGAACTAAACACACACACACTCTCAAGTGCTGATGGCCAACCCCATCTTCCCACTTAGCAGAACTTGCTGGAAGCCCTGGGAATAGGACGGACAGGAGAGGGGGTTCCATTCTCATTCTCTAACGGGGTGAACCCAGCACCTGGCATCCCCATCTGTGAAATGGGGCCACGCTGTCAGGACTGCCAGCTCAGGCAGGGGTCCCTGACCGTGTGGAAGCCCGGACACCCCTAGCAGGAGGGAAGGAGCCAGCCACGAACGCGGGGGTGAAGGCTCTAAACACAGAGAACCTGGACAAAGACTGCCCCCCCATCTGCCTGAGCGGCCCAGGTCATTCAGACGCTCTGGCAGGCGCCACCCCCACCCCACCCCCACCCATGCAACTTTGAGCAACCCTCAAGAAAGCGGAAGTGACTAGCACTGGCTCTCAGCGGCAGTTTGAAAACCATGACTCTGGCTGCAAACGGAAGAAGGGGAAACCATAAGCGCGAAAGGAAGCCATTAAACACGAGAACGACCTCTCCCTCCACCAGCCTGGCACCATGGCCTCCGGTTTCTTGCTCTGCTGGGTCGTCGTTAGGCTCTGACGCCAGCTGCCCTTTCAAGAGCCTGCCGGCCCCTGCCCTGGCTCCGGCAGGGCCTGGGGCAGCTCCCGGGGCGGCCGCTGCCACGGCCTCTATCTGCCCAGACACAGCTCTGCCTGCCAGGGAGCCCATGGGCAGGTCCTTCATCCTCCACCCTGCCTCGCCTGCCCCGGCCCCAAAGCACCCAGAAGTGGAGGTCAAGGGCACAGAGGCCTCTGGGAGGCCTGAGCTGCCCTGAGCTGCCACCCTCAGCCATCACAGGCCCACAGGCTGCTGTGACGAGACCCGGGCTACGTGAGCCCTACGAAGGGAGAGAACCCACTACCGAAAGGCCAGCCCCAGCCCCTTGCAGGGCTCCACAGGCCCAAGGACGGTGAGACCACCTCCCTCAAGTCCCCCCAGCCAACTGTCAGCTCTCTGCCAAGTCTGGAAAGGGGGTAGGGGACTTGGATTCCAAGGACAGGATAACAGTAATGGCGACCCCATGACCTCTGAGGAGGACCCCATGTGCGTGTGTCGGACGCAGAACCCAGCACAGACGTAGCAGGGTGGGCAGCAGGACGCCCATGTGGGACAAGGGGCGGGCCTGGCCAGAGCCACAGAGGACGATGAGCTGGGACTTTCCCATGGCTTGGGAAAGCCTGGGAGGGATCCCCAGTTAGGGGACAGCCCAAAGCACAGTCTCCCAAGGGAGGTGGCCACTCTGGTCCAACCCCGGGGATAGAATAATTAGGAAACAGAATGTAGACCCCAGGCCAAGGACCTAGGGGACTGAGAGCTCACATTCAGGACCATCTCCTGGATCAGTTACGGGTTCCCAGGAGAAAAAGAAAAGAACTAACTGACTCTGAAATAGCACTTGGAACACAAGGAGGAGCAGACTTGGGTGTTCCAGGGTGATCCAAAGTCAGAAAAGCCTAGGCTCCAATCCTGCCTCTCCAAATTTAATCCCTGTGGCCTTGGACCAGGTCCTACCAGCACCGAGCCTCAGCCTCCTCACTTGGGAGACACCTCACAGTGACTGGAGGACCGCACCTCCCACAGGAAGACCCATAAAACAGTGTTCAAAGAGAAAGGAGCTTTGGCCTGGAAAGGAGGGCGTGTCCCCACTCCCCACGTGCTGAGCCTGCCCTAGAGAGCTGGTGAGCTAGGGATGCCAGGAAGGCCCTATTTCTCACCAGAGCTCCCAGGCCTCTCTCACCTCATCTCTTGCGGCAACCCGCATGGCGCTCAACACTCCCGCCACACCTGACTGCTTGTAGGCACCCTCGCCTCTGCCCTGCCTGGCTGCTCCCTCTGCCTCCCCTCCAGCTCTCGGAGCCTGAATAGCTCCTCCTGGGTCCTTCAGGCTTCAGCACAGACACCACTTCCTCCAGGAAGCCTCCCCTGACTGCGTTAGGGGCCTGCTCCACGCTTCCACAGCTTCCGTGGTCACCCTATGACAGCGTCTGAGCGCTCTGTGACAGGATTCGCCCCTCCTGTCACCTGCCTCCCTCTGCAGAAGGCCAGACCGACAGCTAGAAAC